GAAAGGGACTCCCAGCGAATAGAAACTTAGCACACAAATAGAAATGACAAATGATATGACGTGCGTGAGTTGAACAATGTGTTATTTATAATGAACAATCGGGGTTCTTCAAAAGATCAATGTCTTTCAAAAACCTAATTCTGTAAGGTTTATTTAAGGTATTTGTATTGCTCAAAAGACTGCTTTTTAAAGGATCTCTTTTCAAGTTCCAAGGCAGCTAATAGTACTTTTGTACTGGTAGATCAATATGGTAATATTTCATATATTGATAGATATTAAATTATAAATGAAAATGATACATTTCATATAAACCCTCACCCTCCGCACGTACACAAACCATAGAGACGGTGCACACAAACACAAGAACCAATACACACTATGTAGAACGCACACACCATTACCCCTCCCCCACACAAATAACACACACACACACACGCACACACACACACACACACACACACAGTGGCACATACCAGAGGGCCACATTCCATACACATCCACAGGTGATATAGTGGCAGATATATGTGTGGACCAGATAGGTTCCTCAGATAATGGCACTTCAGCTGTAATGTCATTCACGTCAATTTACCATTAGTAACGTGTTCGCTAACCAAATCAAGTTCACTGGTGGAGGCTGGATCATAGTTAAAGCGGGGGAAGAAAGAGGGGGGAAGGAAACGAGAAAAAAATACAAGTAGTTTAACCCCTCACTATTTAATATCGGCTGTAATAAGTATGTATTTCTAATGTAATGTATTTCTAAAGAAAGTTAATGATGGAGAGAACTTTCCTCAACCCACCACCACAACACTCTGATAACTTGGTTATTTAGTTTGCGTGTGGTTTAGTGCTCAGATAATCCTAGTCACATTCCTAAATTATATACATGTAGTCATGAATAGTGCACCAGCATTGTATTTGTATATTTATTACTAACCACAGGTGCTATATGTGTGTGTGTGTGTGTGTGTGTGTGTGTGTGTGTGTGCAGTTTGTTTAATATGGAATGAATAAACCGGTTGAATGAAAGTTCTGTAGGCTTAAAATAAACCAATTGCAATAACGCGTTTTTTAAGATTCACGTGTGGTATTTTGAATTCGTTACTGGAATAATATTTACCCCCGGATACAATGTTTTACAAAAGCCTCACACGTCTTTTTGAATTCAATATAAAGCAACGATAATATTTTCCCTAGAGATACATGTAACAATAACCATGCACCAGGCGCTGCTTTAATTTCCAATACCAATAATTATTTCATTGTACATGCCCGGTCACTTTAACCGCGAAGAGGTCAAGTCCGAATTACATGTCAGAAACAAAATTATCCCAGTCATCAAAGAAGGCCATTAAACATGGAATTACTTTGAAATCAAATACTAGGCATTTCTATAGTCTTATGAGACAACGCGACAATCTAGTATCGTGGAATGCCCTTGGCAGTTTCTTTCGTAACTTCCCTAAGTCGTCCCTTTAATCTATTGAAATGAATATACATTAATGGCGAAATCTAGAACCCTAAGGTATGCATATTGACCGTCACACTAGGTCATCCTGTGTGGTGCCCGAGGGGTGGGCGGGGGGGGGGGGGGAGTTGGGATTGGGGGGGGGGGGGCGACAGTGCTCTTTTCAAAATTCAAACTGTTGAAATCAACACCGGTCATGAAGAGCCTTTTGTACAACGCCCCTGGTAATGGGAGGAAAGTTCTGAGGTTGACAGTTGTATTCAGTAACTTCCCTCGGTCGTCCCTATTATCTGTTGAATTTGATATACATCGTAGTGGAATCTAGAACCTTACTGTATGTACTGACCGTCACAATACTTGTACCATGTAGTTCACCATGGGTGAGATATTGTGGGAGGGGAGGATGTCAACAATGCCCTTTTCAAAATTCAAAGTTGTCGTTTATTCAATCCTCATCCTCCTAAGATGTGAGAAAAAAATACGAACTGAGGCTGTCAGAATCATATTTCATAATATAGTTGTGTTATCGAAGGGAGAATGGAGTTGGGGGTAGGGGTGGGGTGGGAGTGGTGGGGGCCTTTTCAAAACATAGATCTGTTAATTTCTGTTCAGCTGGCACTTTCTTGAAAGAAAAGACAAGACTCGCCGGGCACCCTGAAACTCACGGACTTATATTGCATACATGTACATTTACTACATAATCAAGACGAGAGAGAGAGAGAGAGAGAGAGAGAGAGAGACTATGGCATTCAGCCCCATTTCTTGATATCCTGGATCCGCTAATTTTNCACGATTTTTTCCTTAAGCCACCGGACTACACCGGTCATGAAGAGCCTTTTGTACAACGCCCCTGGTAATGGGAGGAAAGTTCTGAGGTTGACAGTTGTATTCAGTAACTTCCCTCGGTCGTCCCTATTATCTGTTGAATTTGATATACATCGTAGTGGAATCTAGAACCTTACTGTATGTACTGACCGTCACAATACTTGTACCATGTAGTTCACCATGGGTGAGATATTGTGGAAGGGGAGGGGTGCCGACAATGCCCTTTTCAAAATTCAAAGTTGCCGTTTATTCAATCCTCATACTCCTAAGATGTGAGAAAAAAAAATACGCACTGAGGCTGTCAGAATCATATTTCATAATATAGATGTGTTATCGAAGGGAGAATGGAGTTGGGGGTAGGGGTGGGGTGGTAGTGGTGGGGGCCTTTTCAAAACATAGAACTGTTAATTTCTGTTCAGCTGGCACTTTCTTGAAAGAAGAGACAAGACTCGCCGAGCACCCTGAAACTCACGGACTTATATTGCTTACATGTACATTTACTACATTATCAAGACGAGAGAGAGAGAGAGAGAGAGAGAGAGACTATGGCATTCAGCCCCATTTCTTGATATCCTGGATCCGCTAATTTTCATAATACTATCAGGTGTCATCATTCTTACTGGCTGACAGTGTTATTTGTCATGCTGCCCTGGTTCCTTCATGATGTCGAGAGAAAAAACAGGATGCCAGTGGGTAAAACCTGACAACTTTTCAAACAGTAAAGTGTATGTGCGGGCTGGTTGAATTAATAATTCTTTGTTGAAATAAACATTGGCAAATATTCACTAATAGTTACAGAAACTGAATTTTTAGGGTTTTATGATTTCAGTTAATTTTGCAGTTTGATATCGTAGATATCGTTTCCTAAAGTTAACTGTTTCATGCGCATGGTTAACAGTGCGTTATAGATAAATTTGGAGAGCAACTTTGGTTGACGTAAGCGATGTCACTCCGTTCGTGGCGAATACTATAAATATCACTCATAATGTATACTACCCACGTTTCAGAGTGTCCCAAAGTCAGCTTTTATATGTCTCTACATATCCTGCAAAGCTACTTATTTTACCGAATTCATACCTCAAACGATAACTCTCAAATGAAAGAATCAGATGCCGATAATATTATGTCCTTTGAATTGTACAGGTAGACTTGTCGGCCTAAACGTGTGGTAAGGCATTTAGGACTAGATTTTTTAATAAAATGGCATGAAACTTCGACTCCAATTTAGTGCAGGGACTTGGTCGAGTAATGATTCGTGATGGCGAGAAAATTGCCTTTTTTTCGAGGAAAATTCAATTTGGCGGGCAAATCCAAGTGTTGGGGAACCCAGCTCTGCTCAAGACTAACACAGTAAGTTAGTTTTGTTGGAATCGTTCAAGTAGTAGTCTTATTAACTAGGCTGGCGATAATACTTTTTTTTTACTTTGGAATAGACACGAAATACACTTTAAACTTGAACTTTCAAATGTATACATTAATACATTCAAATGAATACATTAATGAATTAAGCCATAAAAAGTACAAGGACATATTCCAAACGTGGCAGAAATACCCGGCATATTCCCTTCCTTACTTCTGTTTGCTGTTTAGTTGCTCAGTACACATGCACTCATCAGTTCAATAACAATACAGCAAAGGCCTTTCAATATATGTCTTAAAAGAATTTAGTCAATAGCGTTTGTTCCTATTTACATTTAATATTGATTGAAATGGGTGAATCAGTCATACCACCATGCATGCATTGATGAATTTGTAAGATTTAGAGTACGTATATTGTATATTGTGACGTACTCATTTGTACAAGCAATGGGTGAGAAAGAAATAAAAGATTAATCAGAAATGGTATCCTGACACTTTCGCTTTCCCCAAAATTATATACATTTTATATTATCAGCAAAAAGATACAAGGTGTGCCAAGAAAAGAAGAGGAAAAGATGAATTATAGTGATGTTAAAATGAAATGATAATAAAAGGAATAAGTGAATTACAAATATATATGAACAGAAATAAAAATTGTTGCACCCCGTGTTTCTTCACCACTGATTCTGCCACTACTATTGCATATACTGAAAACTACAGTGTACCTAGTCTGCGGTTGATGATCATCTATATTTCAGGCAGGCACCGTAATAAATCTTTGTGGAATTATTCACAACTTTCAGGTTGTATGTGTGCAATGATAAACCTGAATTTGGCATATTGTTAGTAGTTAGCAGCAACAAAGACCGCATGTCAAGAAAAATGAAATGAGTATAATAGATAAATAATGCTAACGTGGATATGATTCACTGTATGATATAACCGTATATCCTTTAAAGCACCTGACAAGCATCCGTGTGTTTCAAAGAGAGGAAAAGATGTTTTCGTGAGATGAATCGAGTAATGAGAGAAAGGCTATGAATTATTTATGTTACTTATTTATTGTGGAAGGTTTATAAAGAAAACTCAGTTGAATAAGCCGTTCCTTTAGGATACACATTAACGGTGAAAGCTGTGCTGTAGACCGTCACTTGATACCTGGTCAGAATACCAGGTAGCCTCTTCCTGGTAATTTTCCATTAGAAGTTTGTGGTGTTAAGAGGGATAGAGGGTGGGGAGTGTGGGGGTCTCTTTTTAGGTATAAAACAAGGTATATTTAATCTTCTATTATTTTCCAAACCGAGGCCATTTCTGTCGGACCTTTAACTTCTTTTTTCTTTCTTTTTTCTTTGCAGTCATACTATCCGCCGATATTCTGTACATCCAAGTGATTTAATGAGTATTTTAAAATTCAGACATGTCAAGGTCAGAAGTGGGAAGCAAAATATAGAACTCTCTTCGATACACAATAGGGCCAACCAGGCAACGGTATTTGCAGAGCTACACAAGAGGATTAAATTTGTGGTAGTCAATATCCTTTGTTGTTGAAATGATCGATATGGACGGGCAGTCAGCCCCAAGGGGAGAAGAGGTGGGGTGGTGGGGGTTTCAAAAGCACTTTTTTTTGTCGTTGACTAGGATTTTTTTAAATGTCAGTTTAACCCTAAGCGCGTGGCGGTGAAACCAGAATAATATGACGTTTAGTCCTCTAATGATTTGGGTTCTTTAACAAGAAGAGCAGTATTAAACTTCAATTGTTGAAGGTCTACTGTTATTTTGATTTTTATGTGAACTGTAAAAAGTGTGGTCCTTTTGTCTTGATCATCGACAATTAAGTGTACCTTATCACAAGTGGTGACCCGAGTTTTGAACAAATGCAGCTTTCCTATCAGAACCAGAGCCGAGCAGTTCTCCATACCAATATATACATGTCAGATTTTTTCCTAAAAATAAATACCCCTGCTCTCTTACAAGAGCCTGGAATACAAGAAGCTTAACTCTCCCCCGCTGCGACTAAATCTTCCTGAACAAACATTGGTTAAATTTACCTGGGCACCATCTCGATTCAATTTACCTGCTCGCAACATTAAGTCAACCGGTCTTCTACACATGTTTACAAATCGGGTTTCTGGATTGAGAGCGCGTCGATCTCTGTTTACACAGTGTGCCACTTTTCTGGAGCCTGGACCTCATTCAGACTGGATTAAAATATTGCTAACCTTTTAGAAGGCTGCCAACCTTTCGATTAGTGTATAATTACGACTTTGAATTGCTCTCTAATCGGTTTCGAGGCACATTACAGGTTCGTTTTAATGTAAAAAAAAATCAATTTGAAATTATGGAGTTGTATAAGGATGGCGTGCAGTTGTTTATATTCACACTGGACATGATGTTCCAGTTGACTGCACTTTTAAGTTAAAACTGCTATGCATTGTGAAAAACCAATCCGCTCCAAATATCGGCTCTTCTCATCCCAACTGTGTGTGTGTGTCTGCGTGTGCATGCGCGCGCGTGTGACTCTTGAATTTGGCAGTGTAAAATGATTATGGTTAATGTCCTGATAAGGTCCTGCATAACTTCAGTGTGTTTATGCATAGATAAGTAAAGGCAGGGTTAATAAGGCTGATAGAGCAGGGTGTTTTTGAAAATTATTTTTACAGTGTTGCCTAAGACACAACCACACGCGACCAGGCATTAGCGTATGCATTGTCGTGGAAATGACACCTGCTTTCATGAGCATAGAGATCATATAGGCTTACAAACTAAAAAAATGCTAAATACACACAAACAGAGCAACAGCATCTAATTCGCCTAGAGGTAGAGAAAGGGTGGCATGTTCATGTATTTATATACCAAGATTATTGTTTTCTTTTTGTTTTGTCTTCTTCTTTTGTGTGTGGTTGTGGGTGTGTGTGTGTGGGGGGGGGGGGGGGGGGGGGGATACAAACACCAAATACCATATGTAACCTTTAGTTGACCCCCACCCCCACCCCCACCCCCACCCCCCGCTACTGGACTAAAGAATTTTTATCTTATGTTTTAGCAACCGGAAAATCTGGGAACATTATTCAGAGTGAGTTGGGTTAAAGTTAGTGCTCATTCAAACGCGCTTTTAAAACTGGTGTTTATCTAAGTCCCTGGACCTGACGAGCCATTTTTCTGAACACTAATGTTAAACCAACTCAGCTCAAGGACCCATCCATTTAAGTCTCTTTTCATGTCAAGTATATGCAAATCCAAAAAATCTCTCCCAGTGTTAGAAGAGAAAAGTGACCCGGGCAAACACATGAATTTCAAATTTCTCCGTTCTTGTGGAATCAATCGATCCATTTTGTTGAAGTACTGTTCTTTCTTCTTGGAGCTCCGTACGCTTTTTATCAAATGAGACTTCAGACCTTAGGGTATACATGATTTAACTGGCAATGAAAAGCTTTGAGTCATTAAAATTGAAACGCATTCACCCTTTTCGTGGTAGTGTATTTAGCTGTTGATGCAGAACTCCAGCGTGTTGGGACATTTATTCAACACTGCTGAATTCGTTTTCAAGATAAAACAACCTGAAAATCACAGATTTTCCTTGAACGATGAAGATCAGCATCATATTCATCAAGTGTCATGTCGATTGCGCTAGTGGATCAAAGATTTTGCTAAGGGAGGGTGGGGGCGCAAAGATAAATATATTTTGTTAAGCAAAGCAAGACCAATATAAAAGGACTGACAAGGACACTTTTTCCGTAATACGTAAGGCAACAGGGATGGTAAAATACTTAGTTTTGTCGCATTGCGCTATTCATAATCATACTGTTTTTAGGAGGGAAAGGAGTTTATCACAGAATCTAAAGGAGGGGACAAGGAGAGGGGGAAAATGCATCTGCTGCTTGCTTGCCAGTGCTATAATGGTCCCCAATCCTTTCCTATCCTCAGTAAATCTCAGCGGCTGTCTGTAGACCAGACCGGGTGTGTCCATTCTGTGAGGCCGTCCTGTGTTCTCTCTCTTCAGCGTAAACACTGAAATATATCTTATCTACAGTGTGGATTTATTAGTTTATAATATACATACATGAATTAAAAAAGACCATATAATTAGTATAAATATGTGTGAAATAATGATGCACAAAACAGAGAAAAAGACTTGCATACTATAGTGATGCAAAGTGTTGAAATTATTATATACATCATTTATATTATATTAAGCTTCACACACACACACACACACACACACACACACACACACACATATATATACACACACAAATATATATATATATGTGTGTGTGTGTGTGTGTGTGTGTGTGAAGCTAAACGCCACTTTCATATTTACTGGTGTAGCAAAAGCATTTACCAATCTTTTACTTTCAACTGTGCTATAATATTGATTATAGTTATAGGCACTAAGAACACAAATAGCAGACTCTAATTAGATATACTTGCAATCTTCTCTCAGGGGTATATGAATATCTATAAAATATAATTAGCTTTTTTATCATCATTTCTCCGTCACGGGCTTCTTTTTTTTAGAAAGGGGGGGGGGGGTCGAACAACGAAAAACGCAGACCATATCTGCTTATTTTGCCGATAGGAAAAAACCTTACTAAGATTGCAGCATACAACCTCACTTTTGCTTAATATCTACTGATACTTCGGTATTCGGGATCATTTAAAGTCCAAACTCAAATTTATGAACATTTTTCCAGTGTAAACAGCCCTGCATATTTCATAATTAATAAAATAAGATAAAATAAAAACTCAGCGCCGCATTAATTGCCATGTGGACACATCTAGTTTTCCATAACAAAAAGAACCAATAGCTATGATTCTGTTAGCATCTCGTTATATGTTGTGGACCCGTTGGGGGGGAGGGGGCGTTTATCCCCTCCCTTTTTTCTACTACGACTCTAAGGGAATACCCCTTTTGACGCCTGGGAAGTATCAAACTATGATTTTAATTTCAACCCATATTGTACATCAATCGTAGAGGTATGAGTATTGTGTCTTAAAGGGTATCGTCTCGACTACATCGCCCCCACTGAATCAACCTTTGAGTATGAGTTATCAGCAAATGATGCCAAATATTCTATTTAATTAACAGAGCGTTCGTGTGTTGCTTTCAGAGGAAACGCTTTGAAATATTCCCTTTCATAGACAGTAATAATAGAAATGTATAATCCTCCTACACTTGGCTTAAACCCACTTAAAAATAATTATTTGGTCGGAAACTTGATAAATGATTGTCACTAAGTATCAGGCAACTAACAATAATAACAACAGGACATTCAGCACTTACAATAGTATTTTTATTGCGGACAAATATCACGAATGTTCTCCTTTCGCGCCAAAATGGAGTTTTACCATACAAAATTCAATTATGAAGAGTGTCCATCACTCACGCACACTTGATGCACTTACATATGCATATTATTGTCATGTAAAAGGTCACTTAATTTGCAGCATTTAAGGTGGTAAACACTAAGACGCAGTTGCATCAGTTCTATTTCAGATGGAGAATAATCTAACTGACGTCATCAGCTAGTATTCCAACCTCCACCGAAAGATCCCATACTGGGCAGAATGACCGTCTGCTGACGTCAGGCAGTCAGCGTTTAATGCAAGTTAATCCCGGTGAGAACAAACTTGATCAGGTACAGAAATATGTCAATTAGTTAATTGGTGTGATGTATTAATAAACTGACCTGCATACATATATGGTAATTACTTTATTGACCTGCATAGATCAAAACACAGCTGGGTTAGGGTACACGACAATTAGGCGATAACCAATGGAGGAGCCGTTTCTACATGTATATACTTTTTTTAGAATTAATATGACATTGCTTAAAAATATCTATAATATATGACAATCAATACCTTTAAAAGATGCTAGAAGTGACATAGAATCAAACTGAAATATATATATATATATCATAATTTTTTATCCCAAATAGCCCCCCAACTAAAAAAATACTCTTCCATAGAAATTTTAAATATTTATTATTTCAGTCTCTATAGACGCGAAATTAGTGTCACAAGCAATCATAGTACTTAATTACCCCTGTGGATTTTGTATCTTTGGAATATACGAATATCTCAGGATATCAACTGCTGATTACCGACTTCCAGTATATCAGTCCCACTATTTTATAGATTTCTCTCTCATCCAGTAAATAAACATCAGTCTATACACCAGAGTTTGACAGTATCTGTGTATAAAACTTGTATCAAATACTTATTTTGACTGGGTCTTCATAATCATCATAATGTTTTGTTTTTTTTTTCTTGAAAAGTGGACCCTTTTTTACCCCTCTTGGAGGACAAAGCTTGAGAAATGGCATAGAACGTAGATCAAATTTTGATTCAGAGCGGATAGGATTTAACCAGTCAAAAAGGCGGTTCTTTCGAACCCCAAATCCCCTGCTTACGGGAATGTATCCTTCGGTCCTAGTTCACTAACTGGATATGACATATAGGCGGAAGTTAAGTAAAAGTTATTTTGTGGCTTTTCATCGATAATATTTCTCCCTTCAGCC